TGTTGTATTTAAGTATCTTGGCAAAAGCCGATATGGCATTCTCCGTCGCATTTATGTTCTCAATTTCGCGTGCCCTCGGATCGTTGATGACCTGCACCAGCAGCGGAATGATCTGAGCGCATGTATGGGCAAACTGATCGCCAGCAAACTGGCCCAAAACCCCACAGCCGTAGGCAGCCGCCTGGCGCACATCCGGCGACTTGTCCAGCACATACTGCAGCAGTGCAGGCGTAAAGATTTGCTGATACGGCGAGCAAGCGGGACCACAGAATTCTAAAGGACGGATAGAAAAGCGATTGAGCATGAGTTAAGGATCGGCTGTAGTAATTGATATGGATAACTCACCGATTAAATCATCGAATACGCAAACGCCCCACTGGCGATCGGCAAATGGACGATTGGGATCCAACAGTTTGACAAAGTGCGGTGCCACCTGATCGAAGGCGGGCAAAAATTGCGCCTTGTTGGTTAGGAAGAGTGCGTGTATGATGTCCACCACCTTCGACAGTATATAGATATCTGTATCATCCTGTTCGGCCAGCTCTTCCTCAACACCGTCATCGTAATCCTCCTCCGTGCGGGCAGCCAAACGCTTGTCGGCCCGCTCGAAATGCTCCAGCACATACTTGTTGATTATCTCGAGCACCTGCTTCATGGCCTCCTCGTTAAGGCAATTGGGTCCCAGGGTCTCAATACATTTGGCCAGCGAGTTGAGCAGCTCGGACTGAACATCCGGTTCCGGTTCGGTATTGATCACCTTGATCAGTTCGGGGCAAATGTAGAGCCACATGCCCTCCAAATAGTTCGGACCCTTGATCTTGGCGCAGTCGAGCAAATATGGCAAAGATTCGGCAGCAGCCGAGCGCACCCCATCATGGAAGTAAAACTTGAGCAACGGCAACATTAGACGCACCACCTCCTCGGCGTATTCGGCGAAGCCCTCCTTCAGTTCGCGTGCATAGCACACGAGCATTTCACAGGCGGATGCCTTGTCCTCCATGCCTGCGGTGCGTATGGCAAAGTTCTGCTGTTCGCCCAGTGTAATGAACGACCATTCGACATCGCCCTCAATGTCCTCGACCTCATCGTTGTCCAGCAGCGCCACCTCGGGCTTCATGGCAGCGGTGCGCATAACTGGACCCATAACCAGCGGCAAATACTGCTCGAATTGCTTGCCCAAAATCTTGCACATGCGCGCCCATGCGGTTATCAGATACGATGTCTGCGGATCATCATCGGGCAGATCACCCTCGGTATGGGTTTTCAACAGCATGTCCATTACCTCACCGGCATCATTAATGAACTTCTCACGACCCACGGCCAGGCCGATCAGACTCACGCACTCAATTGTCTTGCCGCGCAGCATGCGCAAATCCTCTGAGTTGGCATTCTGTATGATGAACTTCAGGCAGGGCATCAGGCGGTCGTAGTAGGCGACAAACTCATGCTCGCACGTATCTGCGACGGAGGCAATCGTGGTGACCACCTGCTCCAGCACCAGCTTGTTGCCCTTCTCGACTAGCTCCTTGAACTTGGAATTGAGAATGGTCTCCAGCTTGGCCATGATTGCATCCAAATAGCGTGTCAATATGTTCTTGGGGCAGTCCTCACTGAAATTGACCAAAGCAGCGCCGGCGTGCGCCTGCACACGCGGATTTTGCTCATCATCTAGCAGCAGCAGCAAGCCAGGCACCACCTGTATGTAGGGAAAACATGTTAAAGAGTATATTCAAGACATTGCCAAGCGGGGTCAGCAGCATTCACCTGTTCATGGAACTTCTTCTCAAATGTGGGCGCAAAGTCCGTGGACATTTGACCAATTGCATTGCAGGCGGCGTAACGTACGCGTGGATTAGGATCGCGCAGATAGTTGAGCACACCGGACATGACTTGATCAAGTATGGCCTCCATTTGCTTGTGACAGCCCTCACCAATGGCCGAGATGGCCATTAGAGCGGCAAAGCGATGCTTCCAGTCCGTATGGTTCAGCATGCCTGGCAGCGCGTTCATGACATGGGGTAGGACCGTTTTGCCGCCCAGTCCGCAGGCCAAGCGATCCAGGGATGATTCGGCAATTACATTGTTGTCGCTGTGATCATCCTCATTGATGACATCGGCCGTCGCCCAATCCTCATCCTCATCCAGATCGGTCATCATTTGCAGAACGAGCGGAATGAGTGCAATAATATATTTCTCTGCACGCTTGCGCACCATGGCGGGCGCGTTCTCCGCCAAAGAGACCATAACCTCAAGGACCAGATGACGCCAGCTATCCTCAAAGTCCTGTGAGCTGAACACCTTCATGCACATCTCGAAAATGTACTCCACCTGTGGCCGCAAGTACGTCGGGCAGTTCTCGGTCATGTCGATGAGCAGCTTGAGCAAGCTTTGATCGTCCTGGCCCTCAATCGTTTCGCCCGTGATGACAATCATGCGCGGCAGAAGATCCGCAAAATGCTTGTATATGGTCACCTCCTTCTCCTTGTCGTGGTAGAGTATAAAGGCGCCAATGGCGCGCACCGCCTGTACGCGCACCTCAGCATCGGTGTTCTCCATGCTCTTGGCCAACATCTGTTTGATCAGCTCGATATACTGCGTCTCCTGATTGCCAAAGATCGATGGTACGCTGCTGAAGATTCGCAGTGCCGACTCCTGCAGCTGCGGCGTTGGTGAATTGGCGCATTGGAACAGAAACTGCAGAATGTCCGGCCACTGATTGTTGCCGTCCTCATCGATCAGATTGCGCGCCACCTCGGCAATTACCTCGCAGATTTTGCGTCGCAATTGAGGCGTCACATCCTGTTGCACGGCCATCAGGATCTGCTGCAGCAGCTGATTTTTCGAGTCAACGGGCAGCTGCAATGAATCAAGATCTCCCGATGTTAATAAGCTGATCAATTTTAAAAGTGCAATACTATTCGTTTTACCTCCTTGTAGAATTCCATAAACTCGGATGTGAAAAGGCGGCGCAGCAACACGGCGGCCATTTGGCGCGCCTCCTCCGATTGTTGGCCATTGTGAATGTTGCCCAACAGGTGTGTTACCTTTACCTCTCGCGATAGATTGTTATACGTTTCCTTGGGGTCAGATAAAGAAATAGAGGGATCAAGAAATGGTTAACAATTTAGAGTTCTCCACAAGAAACCCCAATTTGGAATCCCATTTATAATTAACTTCAGCCTAATTTTTGCTGTTATTTTTTGAGCAGTTTTTTAATTTTTATCATTTTTTGGAGTCTTTTAATTTATTTTTATTTGAGCTTCGATAATATTTTTAAAGTCCAATAGCATCGCTTGTATTTAACATAATTTTGTTCAAATAACTATAAATTTTGATTATAAAATTATAGTTTTTAAGACCTTTTATGTTTAAATTCAGTTTTCGTATAGTCTTTGAAATCCGATTGAAATAAATAAATTTCATATAATTAAAACTACCCGTAAAACCGAGGATTTCTACTTAATCGGACATCATTTTTATTAACAGAAGCTTTTTTGAATTTTCAAATTATAATTCAGATATTTTTAAGCATAAAATGTTATTTAACATGGATTAAATATCAAAATGTCGATTTCCTCTTAGGGTTGTCACCTAAAAAGAGTCTCTCTTTACCCACTCTCTCTTCCAATTAGTTCCTTATGTGTATTAACAGGGGAATTTGAAATTTCAAATATATTATACTGGAATTCCTTAGCATAAAATGTTATTTAACATTGGTTGCAACTAACACACGATGATTGTAACCAGAGTGTTGCCACCTTATTTATCTCTCTTCTGCATTAAGATTAGAATATTTTCATTTGAGGAAAATCGAAACTTCACAAGTACTTAAACATACAACAAACATGTAATATAATGGGCAGTAGTTTATGTATATTATTGTGGCATATCTGATATGTGTTTCTAAAATGAATCCTGCCAGCAATGCAGACCCCAATTTCTAGCTGTGCAGTTCTTAGGCTTCGTGCCTGTTTGAAAAGTCAAATTACATCGACTGTATATGTTGTGCGTATGCATGTATGTGTATAGACTAACAGTTGCAGTACAAGGCAGCGCGTGGCGTGGGCGGCGCCAAGGTCAACAGCTGAAATGCGTGTGGACTGTCGGCTCAATCGGGCCATTTAATAATTCTACAAATAAAACAGATTGCATTTCAGACCATGCGTCATCATAAGCAATAATAAACATTTTTGCACCTGCGCTTTGTTTCCGTTTTGCAAGCGTGTAACAATTGTGCGTGCTTGTGTGCGAATTTCATTTTAAGGCGCTGTCAGCCCAAAAAAAATATACATATTATATATTATAGCTCCATACGAATTGTACAAATTGTCTTTCCGCTTTGTGCGAAGCACACGCACACACACACACACACATATACATATACAGTCAGCAGTTGCACACACACGCGAACATGCGAATGTCGTAGCGAAAAGGAAAGCAAAAACACGTTTTGTGGGCTTTGAGATAGAATGCACGATGATTATGATTCAGGGAATCTTATACTAAATGTTTCTATTAATTACGTTTGATAGATAAAGCATTGCAACTGCTGGTTGGCTAGCCGAATTTTAGCATTATACTAGATGCAGCCACATTTTAATATTGCGCAGTTGTCTGGCGAAATTTGGCACTTTTGGCCCTTGTTTCTAGTAGGACTCACCTCGGCCTGTTTGCGGACTTCATTGTCCATGGAGAGCAAGGAGCTCAGGAGCTGTTGAAACTGTGCCTGGTCTGCAGCCATTTTGATTTGCAGTTTTCACACGGTTAAGCACGTTATGGAAAACACACAATTTTCACAATCTTCACGCGACGAAGCCGCTTAAAAAAGAGCAGAACAATAGAAAACGCGATGCCGGGTTGCCAAAATTTCAAAGTTTTTTATAGTGGGTGTATATTATTGCTGCAAACACTAGAAATACACTTTAACCTTATCACATTGGCTGCGGCATGTAAAAATATTGTTTAAAGTTATTTCAAATTTTGAACAGACATAAATTAAAGAATTATTTTATTAGGAATTTTTCCAAGCAAGATATGCAGAGCTGTGTCAATACTGGCGTCAAGCGGCACGCTTGACAATGCGCTACTATCGATAGTTTTTGGCGCGCAAAAAGTGTGGCCACAACAACAGAGTATGTTATATGTTATGGAATAAGAAAAGTACAGATTGATTTAAATCCATAAACCATACTTACTAAAGTTAAAAATATATAAATTAAAAAAAAAAAATGTTTAATTTGGAGCTTTCTGCCAATGCTGAAAGTTGTTGTTATTGCATTGTTTTATTTATGCAAAAATCAATTTCACTTTTAATAATTCAAAATTAACAGACGTTTCTTTCCAAATTTATTACAGTTCAATGTTATTTTCGCTGCTCTACACACTGTAAACAGAAATTAGTGTTGTTTAACAAACAAACATCAAAGTTTGTTGTTTACAAACTCAACAAAAAGGAAACTCCATCAAAACAATCAAGAACTCAAAACCAAAAACAAAGTATAACAAATGCAGTTATCTTTGAATAGAGACAACAATAATCGGGCTACTCAGAAATAGAAATCCTTAAAATGAGCACTCGGCTTTGCGCCTATAAGGATTGCCATAATTTTTATTATCGGCAGGATAACAGCGGCTGCGGCGACGTGACACTTTTTGCATTCCCCAAGGATTCGAAACGCGCCGAACAGTGGCGTGTGCTGGGTCAAGTGCATCCAAAAATTGGTCCCAAACAATTATATATGTGCTCCATACATTTTGATGCCAAATATCTATCTTTGAACAAGAATCGTCGCATTTTACTCGGCGAAGCTCTGCCGTTTCCCTACAGCGAGAGAAAAAAACCCGAGGAGAATCCTGAACAAATGACAGCCACATCTTCTTCGACGGCACAGCAAAGCTATTGCATCAATCCGGGTGCTAAGAAAACCCAGATGGAAGATGATAGTCTCAAAGAGAGTATATCAACGACATGCTCATCTTCGCAGCAAAGCTTTTATATCAACATGGACGAGGACGATTTAAGCATTGACAAACTTGTTATGGTCGAGTCAACTACAACAGCTTCACAGACCAAGGAGAACGCAGAAACAGATCTGTTCGACAAGAGTGAGTGGATGTTATTATATATACATTTGTAACATCGTTTTTTCTACTTAAAAATCTTAGTTGAATTGAGCATTGTGCCGCCCGCCCGCAAACGCGCACGGCCGCCCACGCTAGAGCTAGATGAGGAGGAGCCGGTGGCAGATGATGATCAGCTTATAGACGACTCTGAGGTATCCATATTCAAGTTCAAGGGGGAGCAATATGTGCAAATGTCCCGGGAATATTATCTGCAAGAGAAACGCCAATTGCTGGAACAGCTGCGCTCCTACAAACGGACGCTGGCCAATATTAAAATGGAATTAATGCCGCTTAAGGATATATGAGACGATTAAACCATATTATATTTCTTAAAAGCCTAGTTTCAAATTCGAGTTTCAATCACTTAGTTCGCCGATGGCATCTTGTGCTGCCTGCTCCACATCGCTGTCCGGCTCGGGCGCATCGCTGTCCACGTCGGGCTCATCATCATCATCATCATCATCATCATCATCATCGTCGTCGTCGTCCGCCTGCTCCTGCATGCCCTGGCCGAGTCTCTTGCGCTGCAACAGCGCGGCCCAACTCAGCTGTGTGTCACACAGCGGACACACGCCGCCAACAGGTATATAGTGTCCGGGCTGATCGCTTAGCATGTAGTTGGCCAGGCACAGCATGTGGCAGGTCAAGCGGCATTTGGTATTCAAGCAGCCCAAGCGCGAACGCTCCGGCTGCTGAATGCGCTGCATGCACAGATGGCACTCTGACGCCCAGACGACTGCAGCTCGCTCCGTGGCATCCACATCCAAGCTATTCTGCGAGGTGGTTAAGGCTACCTTGCCGCTAACGATGAGCATGTGCGGTGGCAGCGGAAGCACAAATGACCGCTCATAGTCTGCCTCCAGCCAGCGTATTGTTAGCGGCAATCGATGCCAGGGTCCCACGCCTAGCATTCGATTGACTATACGAAAGTTATAATCAAAATGCGATTCCCGGGGCAATTTACGCTTCAATTCGGGATACATTTTCAGGCGCGTTGATAGCATCGGCTGCTGCCACGCCCATTCGAACTGAAGCGCCACAATATTGTTGGGAAATCCGTGGACAATCATCACCATTTGCCAGGGTCCCTTTTTGCTGGTCTTCCTGGCGCCGCCAAAGTCACAGCCACGATTGTGCTGCTTAATCCTGCGCTTGGGATTCACCGTAAAGCCCACATAGCACTTGCCGCGATATCGCGCATCCGGACTCTGGCTGCACAGCAGGTACACGCCATAGAAGTGGCCCTTCTGGGCCAGAACCTCGCTGGAGCCTGAAAGTTATAGTTTTAATTATAAACAAGTTCATCTGCTACTCAACCAACATTCAAAGGCAGCGACAAGAGTTAATCAGGGGATATTTGCTGACAGATTTCGATTTCATATATCTTCAAATGTCTACTCTACAAATGTCATCCAAAGGCAATTTCCAGAAATCGATTTTATGCTAAATTATTTGAGGCAGTTCTCAGTCCTGAAGTACGGTCATCTGGGCAGTCGAGCATGGAGTATCCGGCTTTAAGATTTCATATAATCAGCGCCGACTTGGGCAACTCCAACATCTTTACTGCCTGCGACAAAAAGTCGGTTTAATACAAGATTTACAGACAGACAGACAGACTGTCTACGGGTTCAGAGATGCCTCTGCAAGGGTAAAAAGATTCAAACGTGTCTCTGCTCATTTCTGAAAGAGCATATATGTACTCGAAAACTGACGTATCTCAGTTAGAGCTCGCTCTTGAATCGAATGTTTGCCTACACGACATATTAGTCGCTTTTGTTTGCTGTTGTTTGATATTTGCTCTAGAAGTCCTTTCTGTGTTCTGTCTCTTAGTCTAATTTATTATGGTTTTTCTTTCTTGAATAGCACTGTGCTAATTTAATTCTAGTTTCATAGCTCCACTAGCGGCCAGTCCATTCATTTGTTGTTGTTGCTGCTGTTGTTGTTGTTGCTGCTGCTGCTGCTGGGGCTGCTGCGACACGGACAACACCTGAGTCTGAGTTGGCGCTGGCTCCCGCGGCTGCTGCTGTGACTGTGTCGCCGTCGCGGCCGAGCTGTTGCCATTCTGCAGCGTCGCCTGCTGCTGCGGATTGGCCGCCTCGATGCCCGCGACAGTGGCTGCTTCACTGGGCGCCAAGATGCCGCTGCCGCCATTGCTTTGTTGTTGCTGCTGCTGCTGCTGTTGCTGCTGCTGCTGTTGTGCAGCTGCTGCTGCTGCAGCATTCTCCTGCACCGAGTTGATGAGTTTGATGCGCTTGCGAGTATAATGCTGCCACTGTAGTATGGCCTGGTCATCGATAAATTTGCAGCATTGATTGTTAACGATCTCGCGTCGAAAGTGCTCGTATTGCAGCAGATCGAGAAAGTATAGGCACATGGGATACATCAAATACTTGGCATAGTCGGGCTCTTTCCAGTACTGCAGATACTTGAGGTAGTTGATAAACGACGGATCCTTAAAGTAACCGCGCTGTGCGAGAACTGCAAAGCAAGCAAAACGTATTTCATTAATGAGCAAGCAACAATGGGCTTAAAAGAGCTACGCAAAGAGCTAAATATGGCCAATTCGGGAAGACAAGCACAAGCTTTGATAGCACTTTAATGCGAACCAGAAAGAACAGTTTATTGCGACATGCCGAAGCTGGAATACTCTTACAGAATGATGGCATAAGCTTTTGCAGATATGCTAGTAGAATGCTGAAGCTCGTTTGAAGAACTTTTCGAACTATTCTTGGATGACAAAGTAGTCCGATGATGACAATATTTGGAGATGTCTCCTTCTATGCGTGACACTTCTTACAACAACATTTGAATACCCTCTTAAAGGTATAAAAACAATGTCTTACATCGATAAGAAAATGAGGATATCGCCAGAAAGGTATCCAAGATCGAAGCGTTCGACATGGATAGACCTGTTCGACTCCGATGTGCAGCTTAACCTGGAAGTGGCCATATCAAGTTCATGTTCTGCCTGATAATAAGGTTTTCAATATCCCAGCTATGCTATAAGCATACTTACAGTTGAGATAGTTGGGATTGGACAGGCACTGCACAAACTCCAGTTCGATTTGCCAGCGTCGTTTTTGTTGTTCCTCCGATTCGATGGCCGCTAAACAAAAGATAAGGCAAAAACATGTTTAGAGACTGTATTTGAATGAAATTAGCTTTGTTTTGGGTTATTTATCACTACAATGGCTGTTAATTTCGTACTAACTAAAAGCATATGAATATGTTAACTATTAATAGAAAACAATAAATAATGAAAAGTCGAATGCAAAATGTGTTTAAATTTTTATTTTATTTTATTTTTTTTTTGGTTTTTGTTGGGTTTACTTACTCTTACCCTTTCCGTACATTTTGGCCATTTTTCTAGCTGTTGTGGAAAGGGTTTCGTTGTTTTTGCGTTTTTTCAGTTTGTTTGTTTGCTAATTCTTCGGGTGTTGTTGTTGTTTGTTTGTTGTGCTTGGGTGTGATTTCTCGTGTGCTTCAAAATTGTACATAACACAAAAATCATAAATTACACATAAAAATGTACACAATTCTCGTTGGTGTGTCTGCTGCGTGTATGTGTGTATGCGTGTGTGTGTGTCAGATGGGTATAAATATTTAAAAAAAAAAAAGCGCATACAAACACAAACGGAATTGAATAGCACTTAAAACGTAATTCAACTATGAAACTCTCTGTCGCTCCTTAATTATGTTGGGTGATATTCGTTTTGTGGTAAGCAAATTAATTAAAATTTATTGTTATTTTCAGCTACAAACCGTATGTGTTCATGACAGCGTGACCGAATCTTGTAAGTAGAAGAATACTGTTTTCCATAGTTAAAATATACCGTAAATATACTGAATTCCCTGCAACGAAAATTAGCATGTACACACTGTTTCCATGCGAAATCATTTTGATTTATTTCCATATTTATCATTTACATATAAAGTCTCTTAAATGCGTTTACGTATCATCGACTAGCGAATCTCTTAGTTTTAAACTAAAAATATTACTTACACTCATTATTACATTTACTAACTGAACGAATCACTGCAAAGATCTCTCTTAAAATGTTAAAATCGATCTGTTGGGATCTCTTAAATTTACAGAAATTCATCAAAATGGGCGCGCAATTTAATTTATTTCGAAACTAACCTTACAATCAATATATTTGACTATTTTAGTAACGTCTACCTATTAGCTTAAAAAAATATTTATTAAAAAAATATATTAAATGGTCACCAAAAATTCAGTCAGACAGTACATACATAGCTTCGAAAAATATACAGAGTATAGTTTCTTTACCGGTAGTATTATTGTTCAGAGAGTAAGCCGTCACTTACTCTCTATCTCTCCCTCTCTATGTGGCTCTCTCTCTCTTTCAGTCTCTCTCACACTCTCAGCTTGCTGAATTTCATCAATTTTGTTGTGCCGCTCATTCGTATTTCGGCATTTGAAGCGTACGGACGTCGTGGTCGGTTTCGCGGACGCTTATTTGTTTGTTGCTGCGAAAAAATATCGTTTTACCAAATAGTTTAACATAAATGCATGCATGTACATACAAATGTACATCTTTTAAGTATATCGAAATCATAAAAGAAATAAATCAAAAGCTAAGGAAACTACAGAAGTGAGTAGATTCCAAGAAATCACAAGTGCGTGTGCCGACACATGTACATCAATTTATACATACAAATGTACATGCGAGTGCCTGTTTGCGCGCGAGTGTGTGTGTGTGTGTGTGGGTCTGCGCGCGAGGTGCAAAATAAAATTCACAAGCGGCAAAATAAATGAATAAAATTGTATACACAAAGTGAGCTGCGGCACCAGAAGCAGCAGCAGAATGTTGTGAAGTTGCGGCGCAAAAAGAAAGCCCGCGAATAAAACGAGAAAAAAAAGTGAATTTAGGGCTGCAACTAGGAAAGTGCGTCGTTTTATTTTGAAATCGATACGAAAATAAAAATACACAAAAAGTGGGCCTCGTTCTACATACAAACAAATATACCTACGAGTGTTGTCATACATATGCATTAATGTGCATGTATATTTGCAGGTGTGTGAATGTGTGTGTGCGTGTGCAAAGTGCAACATAAACAAACGAAAATGTTTAACAAGAATGCAAAAAAGGTAAATACATGATATGCCTATGTGTCTGTATACATACAAATATACTCGAAAAATTACTACGCAGCAGAAATTTATGCGGCACTGTTGTTGTTGTTGTTTCATATCTATCATATCTTCTGTTTCGTCTTTATCGCCGCCACCGCCGCCGACTTCGTCTCGTTTTGTGAATGAGCAGCAGAGCAGTGTTGTATAGTGTGTGTGTGTGTGTGAGCAAAATAGCAAAACAAAACTACGTTCCGGCATCTCTGGCATAGATGGCGCTCTTAGCGCTGTTTTGTTGTGCTCTCTGTGCGCGCTCTCGCTCGCTCAATTTGTGTGAGAGTGAGTACAACAAGAAAAGCAAAAGTGTGAAGGAAGCGCGAAAACCACAATAACAACAACAATGGGAATATGTCAACATCAAGACAATTGCAAAGAAATAATAAGGAATAAGAGTAGTAGTAAAAGTAGTAGCAAAGGAGATGGCGGAGGTGTTTGCTAATTAAAAAGCGTTGGCATACCGCTGTGCAGTCGTTCTCGTTCGCACATATAATGTTGCCACTTACTGTGCGTGTATGTGTTTTGTATGTGTTGATTTGTTCTTCTTGCAATACATATGTATGTACATATGTACATACATTTGTATGTATATTAAGAAATAACATTAAAATGCCGTTGTATTAATCATAATATATTTTTGATGGCGGAGCGTAAGGAATGTTGCCGAAAAGTTGAACATGCGTATATGTATTCTCACTGATTCTGTGTTTGCATGCGTGTGTTTGTGCGTTTGCTTTCTGTGTAATTTATTTATTTTTAAATCGAGTTTGCCTGTATGTGTGCGTGTGTGTGACAAAAATAAGTTGCCGCAAAAACAAAATTGTTGAAAAACAACAGGGACTAGCCAAGTTTTGTATATAGCAAAACCGGAAATTGTTTATGCGACGTTGGCAGCGACGTCAGCGACAACCGATCGCTAGTTTTTATGACGTGTGTATGACGAGCACACCAATATACACACACTCACATGTCATATAAGGTGGCAACTCTCTGGAAATGTTGGTGCATAATTTGGCCACACTAATTAGCGGTACGAAGAGCAATAATAACAACAACAACACACAAAAAATACGTTGACCACATGTCTAAACGGCGCGCGTGTGCATGCACAACAATAACAAGAAGAAGAGGAAAAAAGAGAGCGAAATGAGCTGATGACCATGTGTGTGTGTGTGTGTGTGTGTGTGTTAGTTGAGCGAGACAAACTGGCAGGTGTCATTGACCCTTTTCGCTGTGACGGTAAAAGCACATTTTACTGTTGTTGTTGCTGCTGCTGTTATTTGCACTTTTTGTTTTTGGCTTTTTTCTTCTTCTTTTTTTTTTTTTGCTGCGTTTGCTGTCGCTGCTGTTATTTTAGCTGTTGTTGTTGTTGCTGCTGCTTATGCTACACACTGCGGCTGCTTGGCCTTGAACTTAGGCGCGTTTTCTAAAGCACATATTTAAGCTCCAAAGCTCACACACATACACACACATACGCATCAGTTTCAAATTTATTTTTTTTCTATGCTTTTGTTGACAGTTCTCTTTTGAGGCGCGCAGAAAACGCACACACCAAAAATGGTATCAATTACGCAATTTAGGTTGTTGTTGTTGTTGCTAAAAGCTTTGCTACTTTTATTGTTCGTTATGTTGACGAATGTCAATGTGTGTGTGTGTGAAGCTTGTTTTTTATACTATTTGAATTGAGGTCAACGCTGCCTTGTATACAGGAATAGGGGGCGCTGCGTGTGTGGGTCATGTCCTCAGAATCGTACCATAACATATTTTACACATGACTCAATATTCCCAATTTTTGGCAAGAACAAGCGAGAGACTAAATGTGGGCTAACTAACATTATATATACACATATGTAGCTTGTATATAGCGCCAGAAAAGATCTTTGGAAACACACACAAACATAAGACAACATTGCACCAAAGAAATAAAAAATATGACTAAAAAACTATATTACATCATTGATCAAAGCATGACTAACGCATAACAATAAAAAATAATTCAAAACGACAAATGAGAACTTTCAGAAATTCGAATTATTCAAGCAATTAAATTTAAAATTCCTAAATATTTCTATTAATCAATCTCAGGGAATAATAAAAATATGAGGAATTCCAGTAAATACAAATTAAACATTGCAAAATCATGATCAGAATCGAATATACACATACATACATATATATATACGCGGAACCACCAAATCGCACTAACTCATATTTGAGCTATGTATGTGATATTTTTTATGAGATCCAACGAGTAATCTGGGGATATATTATCTATTTGTATGCGAGATAAAGCTCCCTTCTGTGAAACAATTGCATGGATCGTTTCCATTTCAGCGAAATTATGACCAAACCTGGGCATGTGTCACCTTTTGGCAAACCATATTGCGGCACATACATTCACACATGTTTTCGTACAAGTCGTCAGATTAGGATTTTAATGCCCTCTCGGAGGGTATAATCATTTAATCACCAAATAGGTAACACTCTCATATGCTCATATGCAGAATATAATATTAAAAGTAAATACTCATATGTATTAGCTTTGATATGTGTTACATAAATAAGGGTATTTGGTCTTCAGTGCTTGAAAGCGTACTTTTCTTTGCCAGCTATTAGATCATTGTTGTCCGATTGGAACACTATTAAATCGAATCTATTGTGAATGCGTAAATCGTTTACTTTGAATTAAATGTCAGCCAATTTCAGTTTCACAAAATAATGTTATTTTTTTAAAGTGTTTGAAGGTGTCAGCTATGGATTGTTTAAAAGAAAAATAAGGTAATAAATTAAATTTAATTAAAAATTAATGCAAGGGCTTAGCTTTAAAAGCATGTGTCGTTGACTTCATTATCAAAGTTGTGTGTATGTGTGTGTGTGTGCACATATAGAATTTGTTGTGGCGTTTGCCAAAAGAAGAAACGACTATCTCTATAAAAAACATTGATCACAAGATGTGCGTGGTACCCCCCATTCGACCCGCCCCCCTTTCAGCATCAGCACACCACGTCATCAGCCTGTCTGCCCTGCCTGTCACACTTTACGCTCGCGCCGTCTCTATCTAACTAACGTATCTTCCCAGTTGAACCAGTGTTGCCATCTTTAAAAAAAAGCATTTTGAAAATCATAATTGTGATTACGATTGTGTACTGCACACACGCATTTCGTGTTTATGCGTAGGCGGCGACACAGACATCTCTTTGTGTGTGTGTGTGTGTTTATTTATTTACTTGGACCTTAGACTCTTGATAAGTGGGGCCTGTGTTGGAGTCGGAGCGTGTGATGCGAATGAATCACTTGTAAAAACTGCGAAAACCAATAAAACAAAATAATAAACAACTCTTATAAAAAGCACAAAAACAGCATACACACACCCACACACACATACACACCCAGAGAGAGAGAGAGAGAGGGGGAGAG